AGCGTTCGCGTTCCACTGCATCCCCGCCGCAACCGGCATCTCCTTCATGCTCATCATCGTGCGTGTCGGGCTCGGATTGCACTGGTCGCCCGCCATCACAAGGAGTCTCGACCTCCACGTGTCGACGTCAGTCGCCGTGCGCAAGCCGCCGCCCTGCGCACCGCGCATGGTCTCGCTCAACGTGACAAAGACAGTCGAGCGCGAGACGGACTTTGCGCTGCGGCGCGCCCCAGAGAAAAGGCGGGAGGTGGACGTGGAACTGGCAAAGTACAGTTCAGCAGAAGTGTGATATTGCTTAAAATGAAGATAAATGCAATGTGTCCGCTATTTTACGTGTCGTGTGCATGTCCCCCAGTTAGACAGCATTCTTGCGCAGGAATCTGTACACTCGCCGACTCCTCGGCGGATGCGGTTGTAGGTCGATCAGACCGTGAGTGCGCGTCCGGGCGACCGGGTAGGCGCACTACTAGTCTACCTCTGTTCAGTTCAAGTCCAGTCGAACTACGCTTGGGGAGATCCGCCATAGCCGTGGGCGAGCCTGCGTGTGCTCCGCTTCCTCAATGGAAGTCGCGCTGGACTCGTCTGGAGGTCTTCCAGTCGCACCTGGGGGGGTGGTTGTTCGCGGTAGTCACGATCCCCTGCACATGGAGGGAAGTCGGACAAGCACGCGTTGCAAACGAAGCTTATCTTCAGGGACTGCGGATCCGCCCAGCTAGCAAGGTAATATAAAAACATTCTGCATTGCGAACCCACCAGCGGGTAGTAGTACATAACAAGATTAGAGATGCGATAGGATATACAATCAGACAAACCAGAGTCAGCAGCTCAGATGCAGAGGATCACAACAATCAGGGGAACACCTTCGTCCAGCCCGAGCTTCAGTCTCAGGCCTTCTTCGCCCGCTTGGGGAGCGCCGCCGTCTTGCGGCTGCGTGCGCCTGCCGTGTTGGAGCCTCCCGTCGCCTTCGAGCTTCCTGCCGCGTTAGAGCCTCCCTGGGACACGTTCGAGCTTCCCGCAGTGCCCCGCACAGAGCGCCGGACAGCACGAGAAGAGCCTGCGCCGTCCCCAGTCGACGGCACGGCCGCACCCTTATTGTTGCGCTGCTTCTTGCCAGCGCGCGAGCCTGTGCCAGTGCTAGACGGCAAGGCCTGGTAAGCCACCGTGCCAGCGTCCTCGTTCGTGGAGAGCACCTCGTCCGTCTCTTCGTCTTCGTCTTCGAACCGTGTGCGCGTTCGCTTCTTCTGCTTGTGCGTGGGCTTTGCAAGGTTCGGCCTGTCTATGCTCTTTGCAAGATTGGGCTTGGGAGGCACGAAGGGGATTGCAGCGTCGTCGAGGGGCCAATCATTGCGAGCAATGGCGCTCTCAAACACCGCGAGGACGGTGTCGTAGGTGAGTGTGCACTTCATTTCTAGAGAGAGATATATCGCCGTGTATAAGAGTCCGTGAAGTCCAGAGAGCAGATTTGTCAATGGCGCGTTTTTCTCAATAGTAAGTGGCTTGATCGAACGGGCTGTGACCCAATCATGTTTGACGCTCTTGGCAATGTCATTGTCTCCGTAGATGAAAGTGGCAGAGCAAGCCTCCGTTTTCCGCCAGTGGTCATGCGCAGTGTGTCGGAGCACAATCCACACAAGCACCCAGATGAACGACTCCAGATCATGGTGGGTAGAGTGGATTACATCTGCTGCTTCAGGATTGAGCAGTTCGATAGCCATGAAGAAGTAGGTGCCCTAGAGCCGTCAATGATCAGCAGCCGTCAGGATAATAGATAAACAAGACACTGGCCGTCCTTTCCTTCAGCTCCGTAGCATTCTCGGGCTTGTCTCCGCCCATGTCTTCCACGGGGAGTAGAGAGCGGGGGGCAGTCTGGGATCGGAAGCAGTCGCAGTGCTTGATATGTCGGTCGAGGGCCCGGGGGGTTCTGCGTCATTGAGCTGTAGTCGTAGTCGTGCAAGATTCCGCTGCATGCAACACGCTCAGGCGGCTGGCGTTCCACAATCAGGATGTTGCCGCTGCTGATGTCCCGGTGGAGAATACCGCAATGTTCCTTCAATGACCTGTGTCCTGGAGAGAGCGAGAATAACGTGAGCGGGGACACAGACCAAAGAGATGATGAGAAAGACGTACCACGGATTGCATCGTACATCGCCGTCACAAGCTCCTTCGTGTTCCTGAACCGCATCAGAGGCCGTCCGACGGTGTCAGTGACGATGCGCATGTGGCTACGCTCCCTCGCGCGCATCTTGGGGCCGACCGCGAGTCTCCACGAGTGCGTCTGGTGCATTGGCACAGGGAATATTGGACTGTGGCCCTTGTCAATTGTGGGAGGTTTCTCGTCGGCTTCGTCTTGACCTTCCTGTTCCTGTTCCTCGCCGCCCTCCTCTGCCTGTTTGTTGTCGTTGTCCTCTTCCTCTTCGTCACTGTCATCCGGCTCGTCGATCTCTTTGACGTCTTCCTCCTCCTCCTCTTCTTCCTCCTCTTCTTCCTCCTCCTCCTCTTCTACCTCTGCGACCACTGCAATATCCGAGTCTTCCTCCAACTCCGTGAACACAGACAGCGGAGGGCTGGTGGGCGCAGGCGAGAATTGAGACAACAACCCGTCGGAACACTCAGAAGCTTCACTGCCCGCCGGATCCGCCATCCCAAGCAAATCGTCCTCGCCCTCCCAGGTCTCCCCTTTGGACGCAGCCAGCCACCGCTTGACATCCCTCACACCCATGTCGCAGCCGTGGACGAGCTGGGGGAGACCAATGAGGTCCTCGGCGTTGAGCAGCACCTTGTTCATCCGGTTGTAGAACTCGATCTCGGCTGTGCGCGCATAGCACTGGCGCCAGGCGTCCTTGATGATCCGCAACACGACATCAGGCTGGCCTTTGCTCTCGTCGTGCGCATCCTCTGCAGCCTGCGGCGGCTCCGATCCTCCACGGAGATGGAACCGGGTGTCTTCGACACCCGACCAGACCATAGTCGACCGAGAGAACAGCCGTGCGTTCACGTCGAGCAGCTCGAACAGCACAAACACCGCCGATTTGCCGGCAGCGTCCCACACCTTGACCCAGCAAGCCTCGGCCAAGTCAATCCCGCGCAGCAGTGTCTCCTCCTCAGACCCGAGATGTTCCTTCAACCATTCTCTGTCGTCGGTTGTGAGGTGCCGTACGGTGGGGTCTGCACCGACCACCGCACCAGGACCGCCCTCCCACGGATGGACAAACCGCCAGAAGAACTCTTGAATCGCCCGCAGGCCCTCTTCTGTCTTGATGTTGACTGGAGGCGAGGCGACGGCGCACGCATGGTCGAAACGCACGATGTGGACGACCTCTCCGTAGACCCCGAGCGTGAAGGCCGCGAGGAGTCCGTGTGCAAATATGAGGTTCCGCGCATTCGCTGCGAGCTGGACGAGTTTGTCGATGCAATCGGCGCTCACCATTTTCCTGTTCTTCCTAATCATCTTGAACGGGTCCTTGCTGCTCAGGTCCTTGACCTCGATGGCCATCAAGAACTGGCACCAATGTGGGTGCTTGATCTTCTCATGCAAGGGAAGCACATCGCCGGGCCATGAGACGGCGAGGTCCGGTTTTGACTTGTGGTGACAAAACGCGAACTTCCTGAACGGGAATCGGATGAGCTGCTCGTATCCGCCGTAGAACGACGGCCGTCGGTCCGCAGGAAATCCCGCGACCAGCGCGGTGAACATCTCGAGCTGGAAACGCGCCGGTCAGTATACAACCTGCAGGTGCGGGCAGAACAGATGGGTGGGGACGCACCAGGGGTGTATAGCTCGCTTTCTCCTGTCCCTCGGTCAGCTTGAACTCGGAGGCCATGTTCAGGACATCGGCACCAATGTCAGCAGTGTACGGAGTTTGCAAAGAAAGAAAAGTGAGCAGGTAAGCGTCAATGTCGCCGTCGAAGCTGTGGACATTGTTGAGGGTCTCCTTGCGCCATCCGAGGATCTGGTTTTCCTTCAGCGTGTCTGCATGGGTGTTAGCCTTGTTCGGGGCCTTGGACGCGCGCGGACTCGGGATGCCGCTCATCCCTGAGGAAGAGCCTGAGGCGGAGGGGGAGCCGGTGGAGCTGCACATTGAGCCTGTAGAGATTGACATTTTATACTGTTGTCGTGGTGTTCGTGGTGGTTGTGGTCATGGTTGAAGTTCAAGCTGTGGCTATGGCGCCAGGCGCAAACGAGACAATGGAGGGTGCAGCGTGACAAGCGCCGTCTGCAGGGTGAGGGAGTCAGCACACGGGAACTTCCAGAGGCCCATTATCCTCATCCATGCAGCTAACATGCATGATGCAGCACTCACCGCTTTGCCCTGGCTTGACGTTTGTCTGTGGACTGGCGAGGGTGGAAATGAAATATGACGCCCTGGCTGGACTGAACAAGTCATTGTCAAGCCAGGGATGCTAAGTGATATATGTGGCCAACGTAATAATGTCCTCTTTGTCGCTTTTATGGGGTTCCACAGCGAAAGTGTGCACGCCTCGTTGGTGATAGCCACGGCGGGGGAGTTGCCACTTGCAGGTGTACTAAGCCAGTGCTGGCCATGGATTGATTAGCTTGATTAGCTTCTATGTCACACCATTGTTTCTTCCTTTGACTCACAATTACAGCTGATTGTCATCCGCTGTACCAGGAGTGAAGGTTGGATGTGGGTAGGAGCTACCACGGCCGCGTAGCCCCAGCATAAGTGAACATGGTGGCCAAGCGCTGACGTCCTAAACGGGTGTTAGTATTCTTCAGCTGATGATCACTATCCCCTTTGAGCTCCAGTCACTAATCACGCGTCAGTTGTTCAAAGCAACATTAGCACAGCCACCAGGACTTTGATACACACTACTGACTGCAAGGGAGCAAATGATTATATCAATTAAAATGCAGAGCGTTGTCTTGTTCATTCAAGTTAGTTTCCATCCGTTGGTCAATGCCAGCGTCGAGAAACATTTCGTTCTCCTGGAGCATGGGGGAAAACGAGACTACATATATGAAATATATTCATTGTGCCGCCGGGATAGCTCAGCTGGGAGAGCAACAGACTGAAGAATATACTGTGTTCTGGAGGTCGCGTGTTCAATCCACGCTCCTGGCATTTTGCTACTCCCTGGGAGAGTCTTGACATCTCTCACGCCAAACATGCCGGAATTCCTGGACCTCTGACATGGCAAAGACGTGGATCCCGATGCATCACTGTCACGGGATCTGCTCAACAGGGACAAAGGAAATTGTGACAGTAGAACTTCGTTGAGTGTTGATAGGTCCTGTCAGAGGTCTTGGAATATTGAGATGCTTGCCGTGTCTCGTCTCAAATAAATATCAGAGCCTGGGCCTGGGCACTTGTACACCATATTTATGGGACTTATATTAATACATTATTTAAACGTGCGTATATTTTCTATAGTCTGCGCGCCTCGAGTCCGTTCTTTCTTCCCAAAGGCACGCGTCCGCGAGCACGAGACTTCCAAAGTATTCATAATCAGTACGGGCGGCGAAGAATGCCCCAGGCAGCAGCGCATCAATTTGCAATCCGCGGGCTGGACATATAAAATCTGGCGGCTCTATAGCTAGCACTAGTACCACCACTCGAGATATATCCCCTCAAGCACGAATCCGCCACAATGCCCGGACGTAGCATAGAGATGCCGTCTCCCCCTCTCCTTACGCCCTACTTCCCCGAGTACGCAGAAGTCACCGAGCACGCGCTCCGTGCGCTCCTCGCCGGGGATGTCTCCGCGATCCGCGGCGGGTCCACCCCGTACCTCGCCGCGGGTGAAGAGTGGCCGCGCTGCACGAACTGCGCGCACGAGCTGGTCCCATACATCCAGATCAACGTCTCCTCCGAGCAGACCCCCGCCGCGTTCCGTGCGCACGTCCTGCCACCGCCCGGCACCGGGGGCACCACACTCCTCCAGCTGTTCGTGTGCGCGGAGGAGACGGACAGCGGATACTGCTTCGAGGCGTGGACGATGCAGCAAGTGGAAGGCAACGGCGAGTCGTGGCTCCTGCGCACTGTGCGCGTTGTGGATACGGCTGGTGTGGGCGAGCCCGAGTCTGTGCCTGCGCACGATGCGGTGCGCGCGAAACTCTTGGAGGCGGAAGAGCTCCTCCCCGAGCGCGTCATATCTACTTGGACGGCGGGGAGACAGGAGACGCTCGACCAGGAGTCGTACTGGGATTACCCGGAGGGGTTCTACGAGCAGCACGAGCCCGCAGAGGGACTCAAACTGCTGGGGTATCCTACACTCGGTGGGTGGGCGTCGCATAGTGGTAAGTGTGGTGAAGCTCATGCGACGTGCTTGCGTAGGGAAATTCTACACTAGCGCACGCGACACCGAGGCCTGCAACATGGGCGACGATGGTCCCCACAACGATTGGCGATGCCTCATCCAACTGGGCACGCGGGAGGAAGATAATCCGGTGTGTCTCAACATAACAGCCTGACCAGCACGACCCTAATGCTCGATGCAGTTTTACACCACGGGCAACATCTTCGTCAATCAGTGCGAGCGGCACCCGAATGTCTTCGATGCGGTGTGCGCGGGAACCTGGTGAGAGGCCTTGTGGGTGCGGGATGGGGAAACACCCGGAACAGTTTCACTCTCGCCGTGAATTTTATGACACCGACTGGATACTCCGAAATCTTGTATACGTACAGGCAGCTGGTGCGGATGATGCAGAGGACAGTGAGCTCTGCGACGTTTGTTTGCTCACCACTGCCGTGCTGGAAGTATATGTTGTATAAGTGTATTGATACATTGTACCAGCCAGCTGAACCTGTGCGCTTCGATCATCGTTTTCTGTGCGCCAGTTCCGTCGTATTGTGTGCGCAGAAGCGACAATTGGTTCGGCGGATGTCAATCAGGTTGCATAGGTACGATTACAGCCCGAGGACGACTAAAATGGAGATCAGCGCGGAACGAGCTCAGAAGGGCAACTTACGATGTGTGCTGATCAACGAGATGCCATCCGCCGCATACCTGGCATAGCGGTGGGCGACGAGCGTATGCTGGAGATGCGTGACATTCCTCTAGGGTGGTGCGGATTATAAGAGGGTACACACTAGTGGGAGAAGACGGGTTAAATCTAAAGCTGAGGCAAAGTGAAGACTGTCAATGTGTGCCAGAACGTGCGGCACCAGCCTCGAGGAGCCAGAGAAGAGAGCTGTTGGGCTATGTTGGGACTGTCGTGTATGTCCTACACCTGAACTGATCTGTGGCCGCCGGGCGCGCGCCAGCCTGTGCGACCATCAACGAGCTTGAGCTTGTGTAGCTTACCTGGACTGCCCTGGGCCGTCAGGGCACGTTGCCGATCAGCGTTAGCTGACCAGCTTGTACCTGCTGACGTCGTCTTGATGGCGTACGGTGCTTGTACAACTCGCATGTGCAAGAACAAGGCGCTGATCTTGAAGGGGTGCTGAGGACATCAGTGTATGTCACGTCGTAGAGGGATTGAGGCCGTTCCAGAGCAAAAATCGAACCCGGCCTGATAAGCTGTGTTGTAGCTGAGGCGGCATGTGAAGCATCAAGGACTAGCTATTATGATCAAGGAGTGGGACATCTGACTGGTCGACGTGAGGGCTGGCGCAGATCTCGTATGTAAAATCGACAGACTCTGGAAGCAAGAGGTCAGATGTCTCGGTCCAAGGAAGTAACTCAAAGCTATGGAAAGGTTAAAGAGCAGAGCCAAGAGAGATGCACAGTACGGCCGTCGACATCGCCGATGAGGTTTTGATTATGAAAACTCAAGAGCTCGCCAGACCAGACCGGATCAGGGCAATGGGGCTGCGCGTGCCTGTGCCATTTCACAGGCAAAGATCTGGGGAGAAAGACGAGCAAGATACAGACTCCGCGAAATTGACAGCGCATGGCAGAGCGAGTTCTGACCGCTAGATTGTCCTGGACGTAAAGGCTATTTTCCAGATCGACAGATAGCAGCTGGGCGGGTGCGACAGCTGTGATAAAAGAGAGAAAATTAGGAAATGTCCGGAGACACATGGCTAATACTTGGGCCAAAGCTGGGCGCTGTTCGAAAACGATGGTGGGGAGAGAGGAGGAGGGAGGAGGGCGCAGAGGCTGCTGTGGCTGAAGGAGCGTGAAGAATATTGTCGGAGACCGAATCGGGAAGGTCGCTTGTGGACCAATTGTGGCGTGGTCGGTAAGGCGGGGCGCGAACCTTCTTTTCCTCGCCCACCAGCCCGACGAAATCTAACTCGCGGTCAGTCAACTTTGTTTCCAAACTTTGTCCGTATTTTTGCTGACGTCGAGGCCGTCGTCGTCGTCCTGCTCGACGTCCTCGTCATCGTCTGGGGTATCGTCGTCACTGCCATCAACAATGTGCAGCCCTTATCGCTCCCTCCCGCAGTCCCAGCCATGTCGGGCCACGACTCCCAGAACAACGGCCAGTGGACCGAGCCGCCGTGGTCCGGCTGGATAGAGACTACTGGCGACGCTCTCCTCATTCTCGAGGCTGCTCGTCGCGGTCTTATCCCACGCGTCACTCGACGCCTTGTAGATTCTGAACGCAAGATGATCACCTCCGGCTCCGTCTTCGTCTTCGACGAGGACGAGAGCGGCATCAAGCGGTGGACAGACGGCTTCTTCTGGAGCCCGAGCAGGATCTTGGGCAACTTCCTCCTCTATCGCGAGACCGAGAAGAGAGGAGCGGGCCATAGCCGCGCTCGCGCCGAAACCGCAGCGAACGAGGAGGCAGAGAGCCTGAAGCAGGAGGGCCAGTCGCTTTCGAGGCCGAAGAGTGAGTCTAGCCGTATGGGCATTGACAGGCAACGAGAGCGGATCCTCGTCGGGAGTCTCACCAACAGCTACAAGTTCAAACCCGGAGGCATGATGAAGAAGGTGCGTACCTCGAATCCTTGCTCTCCTTCAACACTGTCCCTGTATACCTCTCCTACGCTGTACCCACTTTCGCGCACGGGTCCTGGTCCGTGCGTCACACGTCGCGCACGGACCTGCACCGATAAGTTGTGTATCCTGGTCCGTGCGTCGCAGGCAGTCGTGCACTATCTGGACGGACATCACCGCGAGCGTCACAACTGCCTACCACAGCGGGTTCTTAAGAGGCGGAACAGGCTACATGCGCCCTCGACGTCATCGTAGCCTATGCATGATGCGTTTTGCGGCACGACGGCTCGTTGTACGCTGTCTGGTGGCCGCGCATGTTACTCATATACATCCCTACGGGTGCACTTCAGTCTACTATCTATATGAAAGGAGCCCGGTATAGTATTGCTACGGGCGGCAGACTTGAGCGCGTGTAGTTGACCATGGAAACGTTCTCGCGGTCCGCCTTCTACATGAGATACCGACCTAGCGCTTCGCTGCCTTTCTTGACTGATAGCGCAGTTGAAGTCGAGCTCAATCACTTGCCGCTCTTGTGTTCTCCACACTGCATGAATGCTGATCTATCTTGTTGCGCCCCAGACGTTCTCTCTTACCATCGGCGGCGTGGCGCAACATCTCATCTCGTATTACAAGATAGAGGACGTTGAGCAGGGTCGTCTGCGCTCACCTTCTTCGCTTCCTGAGCTCGCGGCTCTCACGATCAGCCCCGAGTACCTCGATAAAACCCATTTCCGTAACCCTCCCAAAGTCGAAATTGGTGTGGATGGTATTCCGCGCTATCGTGGCGAGGCCGATGACGTCGACCTTTCGCCGCGTCTCTTACCCGCGCCTCTGTCTGCTGGAGGCTACTATGGGGAGGCCGATTCCGGCACAAGCAAGCGTTCCAAGCGCTATGACCCATACAGCCCGAACACCAGCGCCCCCAAACGCTCGCGCAAGAAGAACAACTCGGCGTCCAGCCAACAAGAGGCGACCGGCGTTGAGTCACAAGCATCCCCACTCCCAGTCTCGGCCCACCAGTCTCAAACTGGGTACCCTGACCCCAACATGCCGCATTACCCCTACAACTATTACCCTGTACCTCCGGGTTATGCGCCACCCATGTATTCACCTTCTCCATACCCGCCACCCCTTGTTCCCCCAGCTTCGACCACCACTCCCCCGCAAGACAGTCCTTCCCCACCAGCTCCTGCGACTGCAGGTTCCTCTCCCACCTATTCTACATACCCGGTCG